AGCTTTCATTACAGTCTCTCAAATTTTCCATTACAATGCATTAATAACTGGGAGAGGCGTAAAAAATGAAAGCTTAATTGACGTTTATTCATTTTGTATAAACAAACTACATATGGTAAACAATGACAAGCATGCAAAATGAAATGAGTAGAAAATTATGTAAAATTTATGTTAGGCTACAAAAAAATAAACAATTTTGATTGCTGAAATGATCATAATCGATTTGCAAGAAATTTACGTTCGATTGCTACGAATTAGTAAAAATTCCGTGTAAATCCAGTGAATATCACTAATATTGAGTTTTTTCGCTCGACAAAACGTAAACGCTTTTTCAACCGAGTCCATTGCCCAAACATAAAAATTTCTTTTACTCTTTTGTACTACTAGCGAATACATATTAACATATATAAAAAAAAAAAATTATTCCAGTACACAAAGAAAATTAAATACGAAGAAAATATATAACATGTTATTAAAAATTAATATTTGGAAAAGGAAAATTTGGAAGAAATTACAGACAAACTGGGTGTTTTGGAAACATTCAAATTCTACCAAGATAACGACCTCACGCATAAATTCCGTTTAATTCAAGAATGGCTCTTATATAATTGCCCCAAATTGTTTAACTCTCTTTTCCAAATCATCAGGAACGTGTCAAAAATATGTGGGTTAAATTCGATCGCCACGTACGAAAACATTTAATCCCCACCTTCCAAAAACTGAAAAACAGACTAGGGGAATGGAATAAGATCCCTGTTTCCTACAGAAGTAAATTTATACAAAATGTGTCAAAACGTTTAAATGACGCTATTAAGCAAAAAGTATACCGCTCCAAACATTAACTTTTAGTAATATGCTGTTTTTTTTTTCGTATCCTTCCTTCTATGAAAAAAACCCAATATTAATGAGACTATATTTTTTAAGTTGCTCATATTATTTAATTTTCTTGTCTGAAAAAGTAAAACATCGCAATTCTTGAAAAGTAATAACATTTCGTCCCCCAACGAACGTCACTACACACTCCGACTCCATTCCATTTTATAATTTGACTGTTTATCATCTCTAAATGTAAAAAACTTAATATGCGAAATATGGTTTGGCCTAATGGCTACACTATCTCCCTCGAAAGTGGGAACATGAAAATCCCCAGGGCCAGAGTTTATGCCTACACCACAAGTGAGTATAGTGTATTTATGCAGTTCAGAAACAATCGACTTTGGTTGAAATATATATCAAGATTTCCCTAACTTAGAGATTTTTTTCGTCTCTAACAAAAAAAGTAAATTGATCTCCTCCGATGCGGCTACGGCAAATTCTATTGCAGCCAATACTTCACTTGACAACATTTATAATGTGTACATCCCGTCCGAATTCTGTGATATCCGTAGGGTTACTTCTATCCGCCTTTATTTCACCGGACTTAAAATCCACTCAAATGCTTGTCCCAAAAATCTGCTTCAATTCTACCTCCTACTTGACTTCTGGAAAGTTGCGGAAGTAATGCGCTTTCACAAATTCAACCAAACCTCTAACTGTCGTGCGTCTCTGGACACAGTCCGTACAAGTTCTTCCGTGAATGTTTTAGCTTCCCACATCTGTTTGGAAGGTATTAACTTCCCGGTTAAACCATATGTTGTGCTGATATTACAATGCCGCAAATGTTGGCGCCTCGACCACACTGATAAGGTGTGATCACACCGAAAATCACTCTGCCCTTCCTTCCTGTGGCGCAAGATTGCTCCACAATTTGTTCTCAAAATGCCAAAACCTTTCTAATTCCAAAACTTGTCCGACGTACGAGAAAATTATGAAATTGAAAAAATACGCGGCAGGACGTCTCACACAACAAATTTACTCTTTTTGTCAGAGTACTTACGCACACCCAAACTCCAATTTTTTTAATATCCCTGAAGAGCTTCCCTAAGTTCCCTCCCCCGACTTTTCAACCAACACTCAAACGACCACGCACGAGTTCAGTTCCAACCAAAAAGATGATAAGTTCTGAAATCACCATCTCCCCTTCCAACATAAGATTTTCAAATCCCGAAATTGTGACATCCATCAAAGACAATATTCCTTCTGATCAGGAAATAATCGCTGATTCTAACACTTTCTCTACCTTATCTGAAATCTCTGATCGAATTCAAAAATTACACAGTATTTTCTAAATCAATTTCTATTATTAGCTCTGCCACACGCTTATCTCGCCACCTTCACAAGAGTATTCTTAACCAATGACTGCCTTTGATTTTGTACTCGTATTCTCTCTCAATCAATAACGAAAATAGCTCAATTCAATTGCACTAAAATCCGTAACAAATTAAAACAGCTTGAATAATACCTTCATTGTAATGACAACTTCGTGGCTTGTCTTTCTGAAGCTTTTATTAAGCCTCATGATTATTTTTCCATTAAGCGTTATAACTAGTTAGATTTTAGCATGCCTCAAACTATTCTCATGGTGGTGGTGTGGCAATGCTTCTATTTAAGCTTTCATTCTCTTACACTTTTAATGTTGCAAACTGTGTACCTACTGAAACTTGCAGGTGCCACTTCCTTTGGGGAACTCTAGATTATTAGTTGTTATATTTCATCTAATTATAATGTTTTTGATTCTGGAAAATTTTAAAAATTTTAATCTGATGGGCTTAAAAGTGATAAAATCGATAAGTAATGGTGAAGCCCAACATTTTTTAGCTCAACCTCAAAAGCGAATAATTTTATTCTTAACGAAAGATTTGGAATTGTGCGTAATGTCCAGGTGTAATACAATCCAGTTTACATCAAAAACAATGAAAATATTTCTCTATAATGAAAAACAATTCCCAACACGATTACTTTGAGTTACTACATTCTCCAAGTGAATTTCTTCATTCTTACGCTGAGACAATAGTTTAAATGTGGCCGATTCGGACACAATACCAAATTCTGTAAAGCCTCTACTATTGAATGTAATAAAAGCATTTTGGTTCAAACTTTTACAAACTCCTTATATTTCTCGTTCAAATGAATTATTGAAAATACCTTTCCAGGCAGAGGTTTGATATTTGTGATGACTACATCCGTAAAATTAATCACTTCGCTTCCGTCAGACAACTAATTCAAAATATATCCAGGATAATTCTTGTCTCAGATATTCTCGATACTCAAAACACTTTTCAGGCGGTTCTAAAGGCTGTGAAACCAAGTTATTACGACATCAATTCTTTCGCCCTTAGATGACTCTTACAGCTCTTACACTCTTACAGCTATGTATCGAAAACGTAAAAAAACTTTAAAAAAAATTAGTAAGTATGCCTTCCCTGCCAATTTCTTTGAATATAATAAGATGCAAAAGAAATAGAGTGCAGCCGTCAGAAAACCTAAAAGGCAGCATCGCGCACTTTTGATTAATGATCTCTGTGCTCAGCGTAATTGTCGACTCTTATAGAACTACATAAACGGTCACCGTTTTACTAAACAAGAGGCTTCAAATTTTCCAATTTGGACAGATACTGGCAATGAAAATGATCTGAACTATCGCAAAAGTCATACATCTGTTGGTCGCTGGTTTGTATATCCTGCTCTACCCCAAGTATCGAACAATAACGAATAAATACGATACGGTCAGGGCTCTGTCTATCGAAATGGTCTTTGTTCTTGGGTTCTGATTCGGCCGTTGTGTAAGATGGCTTGCCGTAAGACAGCTGGCTAAGCGTCATTCTAATCAAACTCTATGCGATCAATTTGCGACAACTCCAAGACTCTAAAATATTCCAATATGCTGATGAAAACTTCTCCTTACAAGCAAATCTTTTTTACGGGGAATGTAGTAAAACCAATTTACATGTCAGCCTGAGCAAAGCCAATACTTGAGACCTATCAAAACAATTGCTTTCAAATCTACGCCACTGATGACTCTGTAAATGATGAGGCATCCACTTTATTGATGATGAAATATGGCTAGAATATCATATGTGAATGTGAATGTAAAATTAAAATCTTGGAAAACTTATTCTCTATCCTCAGGGAGTTGCTTGCCAACAAACCAACATGTCTTTAAAATCGACGATATGCTTGTAAACCCTTTCATTGGTCAATGTCATTTTGTCTCGTTGCTGGGTCATTGTGGTTTTCATCTCAATGAAAGGACTGATTTTTATATACGTGGAGCGCAACTCGACGGAAAAATAACATCTGTAGTATATCCACCAAGCGAAGCCCTGCACAAAATTAAAAATACCACTTCCAGAGTTCTAGATGCCGAATATAATACAGTTGCAAGAGAAAAAGCTAGCTGTCTTTTTCCCATGTCTTTCAAATGCTTCCTCTCGTCCTGGGAGATCAAAGAGCTCTACCTTCTAATGACTAATCGTTGCTATGGATTGATAATGACAAATGTGATATATGCCAAACAACTGAATCTGACGAGCATTTTATCTCAAGATGCAAAAATTGTGATGATATTAGACTAGTATTCGGTCTTTTCGGTAGCTACAACAACCTATATGACATCCTATGTGCTCACGATCTCGCCGATCTTAAGGAACTCACTGTCTTCATCGGAACTGCTGATTTTTCCTTCTCTTATAACTTATATCTATTGTCTCTTCTTCTTTGCTTCCAGTCTATTCTTGGTCAACTTTTGACCGTCTTTTCTCTTTCCGGACGAACGGTACTGACTTTGAATTCACTCTCACCACACCTCCGCCTTCACGAATAATCTACAAGTGCTGTCTTGCAACCCGATGATTTCTACAACATACCAAAAAAAAGGAAAAAAACGAAGACTGTGTCAGTCGTTTACACATGAGAGAAGAAATTTTATATTGTTTACAAAAGTAGAACATTTTTGAAGCTTTTAGGCTAAGCACTGTTTTTACTTACATATAAATAAAAAAAAGTAATTTTATTATTATTATTATTATTATTTTAATTTTAGACTAATGAATTCTTAGATAAAAAAAGAGACATTGAGCACTAGCAACACAGGCTATCGGTGATAGACTATATTTAAATAGGAATAATAGAAACGCACGTGTAGTGTTTTAAAATCAAACTTAAAGTGATATGAATATTTGTCTTTAATCAAGCGCAAATTGCGCGAAAAACTTTCTATTCTTGGAGTAGTGCTAAAAATAGAAAAATAGCTTCAAATTTATAACAAATTCAATGAGATCCTTTTGCTTTAAAATCGAATTTGTACCTAATTTTATATGTATTAAGAAACTAACTTTCATTTCTGTTTTTTTACAAATCATGTCGGCTAGAGATTTTGCAAGGAGTTTATATTAATATTATTTTTATTTTGTGCTCGTGTGTCATTTCTCCTTGTTCCCTTTGTTATGCTGGTTTATGTTAAACGCAGCCGGGTTTCTGTTTTCACGTCAATCGGGGCGTTGCTACTAATTCTAACCAGCCCCGTATATGATGATTATTGTCATTTAACGCTATTATAAACTTTATGTAAAGCATTGTTGTTGGAGTTTTGTGATTTTCCAAGAATTGTAATTATAGATAGCGTCTATTAAATAAGAATGCTGAATGAAATATTTTCAAATATCTTAAGGATATCTCCTAACGAAGGAAAGTGATTCAGTTGCATATATGTCTTCATTTTTTAAGAAAGAAATGTTCTCATCAATGAATAGATTTTGCTCCATAAATTAATTGTAGTGCGGTAAACACTCTGTCGCTTTTGAAAATGAAGCTCAAAAATTCTTCGAAATAATTTTCACATGGACGTTTTGAAAATTTTACAAATCTAAAGCAATGAAAAAGACACTTTATGTCTGCTCCATCATTTTGTTTTGTCAACGCAAAAATATTTCAATCGATGGTTTTTTTAAGCAAGAAAGTTGTAATCATAATAGGCTTTAGTGCGTTGATGACATTGAAATACATAATTTCGGTATGATATTGTTATGATGAGATATTAACATAGTCAAAGGAAAAAAAACTTCGCTATAACATAAGGAAACCGCAAAGAACTTATGTGGTGAGCGGTTGTGTGGTGAACGATTTTCTCTCAACGAAGTTTTTAAAATGTGATCAATGGCAAGTTTTGTGTTCCAATTCAAATTGAACCATACAGCCAGTGTTACGATTATACGAAGCACGACGCATTCATACTTTGTTTTGAAATTCGGTTAAGGTGGAGAGTTCGCAAACCCAAAAATATTTAGAAGGATAAGGTAAGACAAGTAGTTCAACTGCACTTCACCGTTTTATTTTATTAATATAATTCTTATAGCAGAACTAACGCTTGTGTGAGAAAATAAAGTTAATTACAATAACCTGTTACTGTTAAAACGGTGTATTAAATCATTCGATTATAAAATTTGGAGGAAGATGCCATTGTGAATGATATGAACAACATTGTAACTTCGACAACGAGTGAAATAAGAAAATGTGGCGTGACCGCAGTACCAGACATACGGGAGACTGTTATCAGAATCAAGTTTTGTTAATGCAAGCGATCGCAGCATAAAAAATCGAAATTTTCTTCAAGTTAACGGCAATTAAGAAAATTGTAAGTAAATATTTTCTCTAAGTTTATCATTGTAGGCATGGGAAATGGAAAACTGTGTTTGAAGATTGGATACAATGTTAAAAAAATTTAGATATAATTCTTGGGTTTTATCTACGATCTCCATTTCTTGAACATATGTAAACATAAATACTCGCTTTTTATCTGCAGCAATTGTTCCAAAATACAATTTCTAGAAGAACACTAAGATGTACTAAACGCGCAGTACATAGAATATTAATGTATGCTTCGATGCGATAATATAATGTTATATTATTTATTTCCAATGTGTAATATCGACAATTAAAATTAATGAAAAGAAAAGAGATTATCATCAAGATTTTGGAAAGAAAGAATGATATAATATGGATTTCCAAAAGATCAATTATTAGCGAAAGAAGAACTGGTTTTAATATCAAATATTCAATAAATATTTTTTTCATGTTGTTCGCCTGGACATTATTTTCCGAAAATCGAAATAAAGAAATTTGGAACTCTTAAATATATATTTCGTGCTTACGTAATAGTTCTTTTATGAAAAGCATTTATTTAAAATTTTTCTAAAAAAATGTAATGTAAAAAGAGTCGACATTGACCTATTGGCACGAGTATTATTAACAAAGCAGTGAAAAGTTTGTCCCTTGATGTTATTGATTGGCAAATCTATTGTCAGTTGCGTAATAGGGTGAAATATTGTAACGAGAAAGGAACGAAATCAAGCGTTTGCTAACTTATTTGGAAATGCTAAGTCTAAGCAAATGTGGCACATGCTCTGTAATCAAGCCATGTTAGAAGGCATCTCTACTACTATTGTCATTCCAGAATATCTAAACACCTTACCGTTACAGGTCGTGAATACGGTATCAATGACTTCCAAATTTCCCAAGGAGTGGAAAATAACTCGAATAAGACCTATTCCTAAACAGGGCTTCCCTTTTACACATAATAATTTCCGATCAATTAGCATCGTACCCTGCCTCGCCAAAGTTACGTAGTACATCATGAAGGAACAACTTAATTTATGCTTGAATTAATAATAATGCCCTGAATGATACTCATTTTGGCTTTCGGCCTGGATGTTGCATTTCGAAACTTTTTATTTCCCTCGCGGAATCCATTAGGGAGAGCATCAAGGTAGGCATGAGCTGTGTTCTTGTCGCTCTCGATCTAACAAAAGTTTTTTTCAGAGTCCCTTACACTAAGCTTATTAACAAATTATATGAGAAAATAAACTTTTCTCGGAGTGCTTGTAACCTAATGTGGTCGTATATATCGGACCAAGAACAGTTTTTTTCTGAAATTATTCTAACTCTTCCCCAACTGAGATTATGTCTGGGGTATCCAAACGTTCTATTTTGGGCCTCCTGTTGATTAATCTTTTTGTAAATGATTCTGAGGATTTGGTTGGTAACGGCTGCGCTTTTTTTCGTATGCAATGCATCTTTCTGCTTTATAGAGATAATGCATATAATTTGCATTCGTTCAATATTAACTAGTCCTTACCTTATACATGATAGATAATATGCTTTACATTAAGTCCCGTAAGCCAAAAACCTTACTCCTCAATTGTCCTCGTGCTGGGTCATTAATTCTTAATATAAAACTATGTAGATGTTCGGTTAATGTTGTAGACTGGCTGCTATGTTTTGTGGTAACACTTTATCGCAATCTCAACTTTGACCATGTCTCTGCTAAAGTTTGTCTTACGGTCTGAACAACTGTGTAATCTAAGTCCATATTTGCTTCTACATGTTAAACATTGCATCACTCGTCATGACGCATACTAATTATTGGATTGAAGACTTCTCTCCGCGTCCAAAGTATAACGTACATAGGCTTCAAAGTATTATTAATCGTATAATATGTTTTGTATATAGCGTCAAACTTAGAGACAATGATGCTACTCATACAACTCGCAGCTAATTGGTACAATGTAGGAAATCTATTTTCTGATGTTTGTTTAAGTACATTCACAATACTAAGCTTTTAGTATAAAACTTTTAAAATTATTTAAAAAACAGTACAAGGCCCGCTATACGTCTTTTCTTTCAGAAGTATTAATGTTGCTTACGTTAACGACAACCTTGTTGTTTTATTGGTGCTCCAGGGGAAAGTTATTGTCTGCATTTAGTATTTCAGGGTATAATCATGGGCTTGGTTTTCTTCTACGACACTGTTCATATTTCGGTGTTGACTGGTAATTTAAATATTATAAAGAATTTCATTGAAAGAATGTTGAGAAAGTTTATATTAGACAAAAAATCACGATGACTAGACTCAGTACTTTTGAAACAGTGATGGGCCGAATAATTCGAAGGACATCCCATTAGCCCAACGTAACTCAAGACTACGTCTTTTTTCAAAAGAAAAAGGATGAATTTTTAGCTCGTTGCTTATAAACCAGAACAGATACGATTATAAAAGTTTGCACCTATATTTCACGGGTGATCCTAAAGTATTTGGCAATATAGTATAGAATATTGAAATTTTCCTTTTTGTCAACACGGGTATATCACCCAGACATCCCAAAAATTATATATATTCTTGATTGGTAACATATACTGAGCCAATCTAGACAAGAGTATCCTCCCTTGTGTCGACCTTTGCCGATTGCGTTGTTCCTTCCCTTATTTGTAAATGTTGAGAAATCAGCTTAAAATATGGCGAAAACTGTGGCAATTATTGTAGTTTGGTATTCATAAAAGAATGAAATCTTAACAAAGGACATTTTCAACGTAAAAATATAAATTAAGAGCACCGTTTTCCAAAGCAACAAAATTTAAATTTTTGTTCATTATTTCTATCCTATAACAAATATAAGGCTAAAAATTTTCACGCATAATCCAAGCGGGATCGACACTGCTCGAATATGTAAACAATCTAAATATTATAATATATATATTGTATATAAGTCGTTTATTCTTCAAATTTAGTAAGAAGTCATAATGTTTTAAAAACCGGTGCCTGTAATACGGGTAGTGAAACCTGCAGTTAATAATGTCGATAGAAATTCTCTATGTAAATCACGGTTCAATTTAAGCAAAACATCTCCTTACGCTGCTATTTCGCTTGAATTGTTAAATACCAAGGGTTTTTATATCTACTAGCTGTGTAATTGATCCCCATTAAGTTTAAGACTCGCAGAAAAACTTTTGGTGGCAATGGGGGGATCTTGGTTAGCTTACGCTAGTCATACATGGCTGGATTGTTGAGCACTTTCATAATTTGGCTGCAAATTAATTTACATAAAAAATGTTGGCAATGCTTCAACTCAGTGTAAGACGTCATTTAATCGAAGCTATTTACAATTTTTTTTCGATATTGTTACAAAAATAGTGTTATGAATTCGCACCCAATTGTCTCTGAAATGACAAGACAGGAGAATCTAGTCGAATTTGAATCTTTAGCGGGACTGCGTTTGTTTCTTATCGTTATTGTCACTTTTTATAAAATTTGATATCTCGGAGTTACGGTCACTTTCCAATCAACTTAAGAAAAAGATGAAGTCTTAAAAAGAAAGTGAATTGTCTCAGATTACACAAGCAATTAATCGGTGGATTTAAATAAGTTTGAATCTTATAAAAACAATGGTAAAGTCCTCTTTTTCAACGTAAGTATGCCATGCTATGTTTTGGTAAGTGTGTAAATTTAGAAACTTTATTAAAAATATTGGATCATATTGAAAAGTTTCTGCGGTTCGAGCTCCTTTTTGTAGCCTGGCCTTTTAAATGATTTTAAACTGTCTTGTGTGCCAGTCTTGCTCAACTCGTTGCAAAATTTCATCGACTTTTTCAATGGCATTGAAATTTCCAGAACGGAATGAACTAAATCATTCCTGGACCCTTCGTTCACTGAGAGCATTCTGACCATACACTTAGCAAATTTTTTTTTTTGCAGCGTTTTTACTTTTCTTGTAGTGAAAAAGGGTCACATAACGTATTTCCTCTGATATTTCACTCATTTTCAAATCAATATAAGTTTTTGCCCTAGCAAAGAATTAGAAAACTATGTTCAAAAAAAATATAAGCTGACATTCCACCTTTTAAGAAGACGTTGCTTTTAGACAAAGAAATGAGTGTCACCCGATATATAGGCATCAACACGATACCGCGGAGAATTTGCAATATGATCTACTATTTCCCCAAAAAAAGAAATCTTTCAAAGTTTTTTTTTAGCTAATAAGGAAGTTTTTTTAATAGATTTTCTACTTAAGCCGCGTTGGAGTTTCAAACTTGACTACTCTCCCAGAGCCGGTTTATGTTAAGATAACAAATTTTAAAAAATCGTTCCAATTAGTTCTCAAAAGAAACATTTGAAATCATGTAGAAATTTGAAATGTATTTTCAATACGACATTTTCCAGATCAGCCGCGACATTACCTTGTGGATTTTTAAGTATTTATTCAAAGAACTTCTTGAAAGGCACCTACTAGTTCTTGCACCTTTTCAAAGATATTTTTATAAAGATTCATTTGGTATTTAAAAAAGAATCTTGAATTAGCTAGACTTCCCAGTTCATGGCTTGACGACTTCACCTATGAAGCTCTGTTAACTAAGTGGCAGATCTGCAGTAGGATCTTTGTACAACTCATTTAGAAGGTGATAAATGCCTTTCATAATTAAATTCGATCATATGTTCACACGTTTGGAGCAATTTGTACTCAAAATTGTGTCAATGCACTTAAATGTTCAACACTTTCAGCAATTATTTATGCACATAAGGTTTCCGTGTTCTTCGTGTTTTCCTTTCGGGTTGATAGAATATTAGCTATTGGCTGTTTTTTTTTTTTTGTTAGAGTCATATAAATACATAAATTTTACTTTTTTTCTTTATCTATTTCTTCTTTTGTTTTTTGTTTATTTCTTGTTTCGTGGTTTTCACGAAATTCTTCAAAACAAAATAAATTATTCCGTGTCTGCAAAGGTTATTTATATTGTAGTTGTCAGTTTGAAATGTTAGGATGAAAATAAGCTGTTGGGCTATAGATTATAAAATTTTGTAACAACTTATGAGACCTTTTTTCTTTTAAATCGAATTTAGTTAATTTTTAAGAATATTAAATAATTAACTTTCCTGAATATTTGTGTTCTTTTCAGAGCATGTTAGCTGCAGAATTTATAAACAGCTTCTATTCACAGTTTTTATTTCGCTTTGTGCTGACGTTTCATTTTCTCCTTGTGTCTTTTCTTCGTACAGGCTAGTGTTACAGCCACCAAGACGTGTCTTTTATCCGATTGTGATTTTTTTTTATAACATATGTTCTTTGCAACAACGTCTTTCCAACCGTGTAATTTGACGATTATCGGCATTGAAACATAGTTTGATAACATAAGTAAGTGATTTAATTATGTATATTTATAGTTTTTAACAGAAACATATTTTCATTAAATAGGATTTTCTACATAAATTATTCTAAAGTAAAATAATTGATAATGCAGCGAACAAATTGTTGCATTCGAAAATGAAACTATTTGAAAATTCGATGAAACAATTTAACACCAAGTATGAATGTTTTGAGCAAAATGATCGAAACTTTCAAATGAAAAGGACTAAAAGACATAAGTGAAGAGAGAAATTTCATGTCTACTGCGCCATTTCATAATTATATCAACCGGCAGTGTATTTTATAACGAAAATATTTGCGAGTGCTCGAATGAGATAAGGAGTTACTAATTATACGTATGGTCGAATCAATCGATATTGCTGTGCGATGAACCAGTTACATTTTTGTCCAAAACCATTTTTGTGTACTATTTCATGTCTAATGGTTTGATGTGACTTCTTTTTGCTCAAATAAATGATAAAAATTTTAAAAAAGAAAAAAGGTTGTTCGAGAAGGATAATGTTACCATTAGTCTCTATATATAAAGGAACAACGACGTAATCGTATTTTATACATTGGAAACGACTTGAAAAGATAAGGTAAGATAAATGTTTAGTGTCTACTTCGCCATTTCATTTATTAATATAAGTAATTTTCAACCAATAGTTTTTCGTAAAATATAAATAATTGTGCTTGCTCAAGTCACCTGATCCATCAACAATGCTGCGTATTCAACCAATTTCCATTGACGTTTTTGAAATTTTCTCGATGGTGGCATTGTTTATTGAAAAGTTTATTGATCGAGTCCTTTGCTTTAAATACTATCGGATAAAAATGAATACACTCTTTAATGTTAAAACGATGTATGCAAATTTGATTACAAAATTTGGAAATGGATGGTGTGGAGAACGGTGTAACTTCGTCAATCACACAAAAACTTTGCCGATGAGCGAAGCAGCAAAATCCGGTGCGATCGCAGTAGCAAACACATTGGAGAGCGTTATCGAAAATGAATTTTGTTTATACAAACTGGTACAGCACAACATTTTTGTGGGACTGAGCTAATGCAAACTAATATCAACTCGGCATTAGCCAGCAGCAAACAACCGCAAGTATTAATATTTATTTGACTTAAGCGATGGGAATGCAAAATTACATTATGCAAATGAATCTTTTAAAATATGTTTGAAAATTTATGAGGGTAAGTCCTCAGTGTTTATCTGCGATGTTTTAAACGTAATTACAAGCAAATCATTTACCCTAAGGAAACTTTAAAGAACAACATCCACTATACGCAGAATGTTGATGTGAAAGAATAATCTCTCTTTTTTCAATTTTCAAAACTTTGGAAAGAAGGAAAGATATGTTAATGATCTTCGAAAGACGAATTCATAAGTATCATATTTCTTTATCATTCTTCTCATTAAAAGCTATTTAAGAATTTATTGAAACAATTAAATCGTTCTCATTTATTATATCGTGTATCGTAATTAGGCATGTTGTTACAATAATATAGCTGTCTAAAAACATACTTTGTAAACCTTTTGACATATCGTTTAGTTCGGTTGGCATGTGTTTCATGAAAATTTTCCCAAACTAAAAATCGTGTGAAGCAGCATTCTTAAGGTATATTGGGCATTAAGTTCCTTTAGTATTCTGTTTGAAGATCCGTCAGAGAGCTACAATTATCTATAGCAGATTGATGTGAAAGATAAGTTTGTAGCGAAGAAAATTATTAAATCTTTTTCTACACTATTTTTATTAAAATATCTGTCGCCGTGAGTGTAATTAAGGATGCGTAAGGCTGTTGACGATTTTGTCATTACCGATATAACTTCGCATATATTTAAATTTAAATAAAGCTTATTCTTCTTGAACCAACCTACTAATGTAACTCAGGTGTAAGTTACTCAGGTGTAAGTGGCTATACGGATCTTGGTGAACAGTTCCGTTAATACAATGGAATTAACCAAATTTTGTTTGCGATTTTGTTTTAGAATGTTTGATATAATTTTTGTAATACGCTGAAATTGGTCTATTTATTCATGATATCCTTTAAATTGGGGTGCAATTTTTGTGGCGAGTTCTGTATTGAAGTTTGCCATTTTGTTTAGATCTTCTTCCGGCTTATTTCATCATCGTTGTTTCAACGCTTTAAGCACTCTTTGGTTTGATGTTGTGGCAAACGCTATGGAACCCTCTATGAATGTTAAGCTGGTAGGCTTGCCATTAAATACATGATATCTAATTATAGTGTATCTGACTATAAACTTGAGCAAAGCAGCCATCAATTTTGCTAAAACCACGTTGACTGTGTTGCAAAGCTATCGCATCTAGATGTTTTGCGGAAATCTTGTGGAACTTTCTCTCTGCGCTCGGCCTCGGCGTAAGCCCGGTTTTGTCGATGTTGAAAGAGTTTGACGCGTATTCTAAGATCAGCTTTGTGTTCTACAGAGGGGCGGAGCTTGTTTAATGAAACATGCCAGAAAGTTCGGAGGGAAATTTGGTCGCTTCGCGGGTTATCCATAAGGACTGGCTACATCTCCAATTGTGTGCTCTCCTTACGGCCTGCGCTAATCTTGTATCCCACGTCCATTATTGATTCATTATCGAATAAAGGAGGGACGTAAGTGATTCTTCGGAAATCCTTCACAGCTGTTGTAAGCTCGGAGGATTTGCTTTTTTGGAATTAGGCTCGCTCATTTTTTGCAGCTTTGGGCATATTCTGCTTGGGCCTGCCAGCGCAGATCCTGACTGCTCTGCTGGTAATTAGTGGAGATTGGTGACACTTTCTTGCGATCCATTTATCCAGAGATCTCATGCCGTTACACAATTTGTAACAGCAAGTAATATTATTCATTTAGTGAATGTCAGACTCTTTTGTACAACGGAATAGTATATCATATTAATATATTCAAAAGATAAAATGGTCGGCGGTTGTAACGGATAAACGCACGTGACGTTGTAAAGTTAGCTAGTTCGGCACTAATGGGGAAATTTCATTTGCTACCCAGCAAACACTCCACAGACGGTTACATTTGAGAAATACACGGATGATGCTCTGCCCTGTGCTATTCTACACCCTGCCCTAGCTATGGTCTCCTTTTGTAAATAATTTTGTCTGGCGGACTCCGATGTGGGCACCTTAGACCCCAAGACTTACTTTATTCTCATTACTAATAAATAACCCACTACATTTTTATTTACATACAACAGATTGAGGTATCGCGGTTAATTAGCAACGATAATAGAAAAGTAAATGTAACTTTATGTAATTTTTAAAATCATTAGGTAACTTTCAACGTTGAAAATAAAAGCAAAGAAAAACAAATGTTACAATAATGCACGAACAATAATAAAATAAAATGAAGGGGGTGATAGTATATTGAAGATTGGGTACGGTTGCTCTAAGGATGATGTTGCGTATACTTTTAAAAATACTGCTGCAGTACTCTTAGTATCTTGTTAATGTGTTTGTTGTTGTAGTTTGTATTGCCTCTATATAGCCACTCCGAAGCTTTCTATGATATTCAAGTGTTTAACATACAACACGTACATATTTAACGTGTGATCTTCTCTTTTAGTGGTCTCTTGTCTGTAAATTTACAAGTTGTCAGAAAATTTGATGACCATAAGAAATTCAAAAAGGTAAAAAAAAAAAAGTTGAAAGAATTAGTTTTTCGTATTTATGAACTGATAAACAAAGAACAAGTCTTGTGTCTGGTGAATTTTATTAACTAAGCTTTGCATAATAATGTACTTTTAGAGATTGCTTGTTGTTGCTCTTACTACATTTTACTTCTCGATCGTTTCATAGAATCGACCGGTGCACTTTATATTTTGCTTTCTTTTTTTGGCCATTTGGGATACTATTATTTACGTGTTTAATGGAGACGATTGCAACAATTATGCAACACCGAACATAATGTAGTGTGACGAATGTTTTGCATAATGTATATGTGTATGACGCAAGCATCATGTCATAACTGTTCAGCTGCAGGGACTCATTGCGTGGGTTAACTTCTAGCTAATGATAAAAGGCGAATGAGCTGGCTCAGGTTCGTTCGCGAAGGGTGCAATTTCTGTTGATATGGATTCAATAGTAGTTTCGTTCCAGGTGGTTTACACCACAGATATATCTTCGTTTTTATTTTTTGATGGTGTCTCTTGATTTAGTAAAATGCACTGCTAAATAGTCAATTGCTGTGCCGGCGTTGGATGAATTCAGACGTGCTTTTTACCTGTGCTAGAGTCCCTTGTTCAAACCTTGTAAAAACATTACTATATTTTTTATATGAATTTCTTTATTTTCCTCGCTTCTCTTACGCGAAAGTGACAAAATTAAAGGCAAGGAAAAGTCACGATCAGGTCGTGCCGAAAAGTACGGCATTTTTTTGTTTAAAGCTACGAAATTTGCTCACGCTTTACTATGTTGGCTAAGCTCAAATGCAGACTATACTATAATGAATCAATCTTGATATTTGTACTAAATATTTAAAGGAAATATTTATTAAAACTTAACCACATTTCCGCTAAAGTAAGGGATATTTTAACAGGACTAATGCAACTTTGAAGGAAGATTTTACAGCTTACCATAATTTTTACGAAAATTTAACAGCAATTAACAACTTTACGGTTTATCAAAAAGTAAGTACAACCGGGCGTGCGATTACAAGAAATTTGTATTTCTTTTTCGTTATGTTCTTTTTGGCTTGCATTTTACTTACTTGGGAGAAATTGGTTGGAACTTTGTTGTTTACGTTAATTTCTTGACTACTTTATTGACTACTTAGATTTATAATTTTTGCCATCAATTCCACGAAATATTGAAATGCGATAAAGGACTATTTCTAGTTCAAGCAATTTGGGGATATTTTCACATTTACCGCGTAAGTTTTATTTCACTGCTGTCCTTGAGAAAGAAAGATTAAATCTAAGCTTACTATTGTTCCGCTCAACACCGATGTCTCCACGCTTCCCTGTCAAGAGGAAAATCAAAACTGATCAGGACAAAAACCGGTCCCTTGACTCAGGCGATCATGAAAGTCACCTGACTCGTACTTCCTTTAAGGCAGAAAACAGCTGCTTTTAGAGTGA